TCACTGTGGGGGTGGTCAGACACTGGAACACACTGCCCAAGGAACCTCCCTGGAATGCATGTGGATGCCCCCTCCCTGGAAGTGTTGAAGGCCAGGCTGGATGAGGCTTTGAGCAACCTGGTCTAGTGGAAGGTGTCCCTGCTGATGGCAAGGGGTTGGAACTAGATGATCTTTAACATCCCTTCCAATATACATTAGAGCTCGGATGTAGATGGAGGCATACAAGAAATAGTCTTCTTGTGTTTTCGAAACATTTAAAGTGATCACATAAATATTTATCACAGTTAAGGTTATTTTCTGTGGGGATTGTAGGTGCGAGCTGACTAGTACAGCTACAAGTTGCTTGAACTAAGAAGTATCCACTTCTGCTTAACAGATCATACAGTCACAAAATATATTTGTTGGGGTTTTTCTTAAACATGTCCCTATGGATCAGACAGCTTTAGAACAATTTATCCACCTGTGTACCGAGTCCTGCAGAAAAGAAGATTACACTTAAGAAACACCAGAAACTGTCTTAAAACAGAAAAATCTATTGCTTAATATGCTGAAATTTGAAGTAGCTTCTGGCTCATCGAGAATGGGAAATATTTAACACCTATGAAGAAATACCAGTGCCTTAATGTTTATTCAGTATTTTAATTTTTAAAATTGAGACTTTTAAGTGTAAATAATTGCTCTGAAAGTAATTTTGAACAGCATTTATTTTTTTTCCATTGTTGAAACAGACAATAAAATATACCATGTTCTTAAAAAAGAAGTATCTGAATTTAAAAAAGAAAGAAAAATCAGCTGTCTTATATCTGTTTTTGTCAGTAGCAGTATGAGTTTAACTGTTTCCCATTTATCAGTATCTGTAAAATACATTATTCTTTCCCCCTTCCCCTCCTTTTTTCAGAAGTGAAGCCAACTTGCATATTTAACAGCATGGAATATTATGATGGAGACATGTTTCGAATGGATGCTTGCCGTTTTTGTCGATGCCAAGGTGGAGTTTCTATTTGTTTCTCTGCCCAGTGTGGTGAGCTACACTGTGACAGGTACTATGTGCCGGAAGGAGAGTGCTGCCCAGTCTGTGAAGGTACAGTATTTTTTTAAATCCTGTTCACTTATTAATTCTGCTGCTTTTTTAAATTTGATTTTTCAATGCAAATGAGCAAACAAGTGCTCATTTTGTTCTTCTAAATTTTTCAGATTCTTCCTTAATTCAATTTATTTCTACATTTTCCCTGTTTGAGTATGCTGTCTTGTTTTTTGCGGTGCTTCTCTGATGTTGACACTCTGCCCTTTTTATATAGAGTTATTTGGGTTTCCTTTCCCTTCTGCATCAAAGCTTCCTCAGTCATGGTCAAGTGTGCAGTACTTTTTGTGAGGACTTCTTCCGAAAGGATGTAAGAAGCTGTTCCTAATTTCTGCACCAGGCATTTAGACAGGCTCCTCCAAAGCAGCAGTGGTGACCCTAAGACACATTTTCATTGCTTTCCAGCCTGCTTCTTCTAGGCTTGTTCAGTTCAGCTAGGGCAATGCATACACCTTCTCTACAATTAGGGCAAAGAAATGGGTCAGTAGTCTGACTTTCAATGTTTTACTCTTTCTCCTTTGCCCTGTTGACAATCTTCTCCTCTGCTTGTTAGGCCTGCAGTCCTCCTAAAAAGGGTTCTGTGGGAAATTTCACATTGACCCTCTTCCTTACACTAGAAAATATTTGTTACGTCTTCTGCCAGAATACAACCAGGATTCCAGCAGGGAGAGATGGGGCTGGGGCTCGACACTTGGGTCTTGTCCCTGCGAGGGTCAGATAATGGTCATGACATAGTCAGAGGCCTGTGAAGTACTCCTGGTCACTGTGTTTAAATGTGAACTTAGGAATGACTTCTCAATAAGCAAAATAAGCTGGAAATCATAAATATCCTCCTAAGAGGAATAAGCAAAATAAGCTGGAAATCATAAATATCCTCCTAAGAGGAAGGGAATCTATTCATTAATGTCACTTTCAAACACTTTGCAGTCTGCTTAATATCAATATTCCTGTAGTTCCTTGCAGGAGCAAATAAGCCAAAAGATCCATTGTAGCTGTGCTTCATTCCAAACAGAGAATTATGGAAGTAAAGAACCTCATAAAAATGTGTCTAAAAGAGGCAGTTATAAGAGTTGGACCTTCTCATTACAAGATCTAGTGAAGGATACGGTTTTGATGGCTTGTTTTGTTACAAACTATTGAAAGCTGTTTCAGAGATTAAGAAAACAAAATCTGGATAATGAAATATCAGGGTGATAAGGCAGAAAGTAAGAAGTGATTCTTTAAAGAATATTTGTATTTTTATATATTTTAGTGTATCAGTTTGTATCAAATAGGTTGTTACATAGTGTTCACATGTAGAGAAGTTGAAATACTGTAGGCTTAGGTATTGTAAAGAGATACTGGTCCATGTTCACCCTGTGTTTAAGATCTGGTCTAGATGTTAATTATTGACTACAGACAGGATGATAGACTTTTAGGTCTTTGCTGGTATAGTTGTGCCTATACTTTTAAGAACTTTCAAGCTGTGGGTTAAAAAAAAAAAAAAAAAAGATTCAGTGCTATACCATCATTTAATGACAGATTGAAAAAGTTTAGAGAAGGCATGTCTGATGTCGTGAAACACTTCCTGAGTAAGTGCAGATTCGCTCCTGAAGAAATTACTGTATGTTCTGCTGACTTTATAGAATATGTGAAATCTGTTTTTTTTATCATATAATTACTATTTTTCACATAAGTGAATATTCTGAAATTTGGCATTATGAAATTATTATGACAACATATATAGATACATAAGCAATGTATCCATATATCTGCTATATCTGGACTTTATATCAGTGCTTTCATACTCAGTTTTGGCTGCTGATTTTCTACATTGGACTTACAATTCTAGATATGTCCTTCATCCTCTTTGGTAATTTAAATATTCAGCTATCTTATGATTTATCAATTAATTGTTCTGACATATCATCATGCAATGTTAAAAGTTTATTTCTGCATTTTCACAACCTTTGAACCAAACTATCAGGAAAACCTGTTAACATTTCGAGTTTGATGGGTTTGTGTGTATTAGGAATGCAATGGAAATTTCTTCTGAAGACAAGTCCTTAGTACACTGAATAAAATGGATAATGATTTATAGTTATTGAGCAAAATCTTCTTTTTCAAGTAATGGCTGTGATTTAATTTGTGCCCAGCTCACTGAGAAGCCAAGTTACAGGGTCCTTCATCAAATCATCTGGAGCTGTTTGGCTTGCTTGTTTCTGTTAAGTGCTTTTCTGATAGGGCTTGTAGCACTAAATCACAGAAGTCTGATTTCTGACTTCTAAATGACTGGATGTTAAGATATATATTGTTTTTTTACTATAAATCTCTTTTGATTTAGTGGAATTCTTTTAGGTGAAGCTAGACAACTGGCTCCATAAATGTATTTTAATTTTCCTGGATCCTTTAAACGCTTAAAAAGATAAAAGAAAACACTGATCCCTTTCTAAATAATTCACATTATGTTTAGTGACACCTAAATTGATAAGGCAAGTCTTTTAAATGGGCAGAATGTATACTTAACAGTTTGCCCATTCATGCTTTTCTAGTTGGTGAAGAGATGGCATTTTTTTCTACCTGCTCTCTTTCTATTTGGTTATATCATGACTGAATTTCAAGGTGATATTTGTTTCCTACTGATGTTTTCTTGATTATAGTAATATAAAGAAATATAATGTTTTATTCTTTTCTGCAACAATTTTTAAATGACAGATGGTAAATTTGATGTGCATTGTGTAGTACAGGCACAAGCCCTTCTTGCTTTAGCTCCAGGAAGAATTCTTTCTCCACGTCCTTTAGGGTACCTCAGCATCAGGAATGTAGTTTGCTCGGCTCAATTTATAGCTTTAAACACTACTGACCTTTTAAGGATACCAGGAACTTTGTGTTTTGGCTTGCATAAAAGACTATTGCAAATAACACAAGTCTTATATGGCTTTTCTGTGCTTTCTCTGTGTTCCTCTGTCAATCAGAAACCTGTACATGAGTTGAATGATAAAATTAACTTCATTTCTTTGTGTATGATTTGACTTTTGACTAGGTCAAAATAGCTAAATACAGATGCAAGGTAATCCTAAAACATAAAAGGTGCAGAGTTAAGAGATTAGAAAACATTTTAATTTTTAAACGTATAATTTTCACATACACTTGTTTTTTATACTGGCTTAACCCATTTTGTTAAAATTGGGAATATCACTAAAATTCAGGATGGGAATGAATGCCAAGTAGAGGTAGAAGTTGTGCACAGTTTCACTCCAAATGTTCGGAGTTTGATACTGTCATAAAGTGATACAATGGGTTATAAGACAGCAGCTGTTAGCATTGCTACTGGTTTTATCCACACTTAAAATGCATTGCCTTCCTTCCAAAGAGGAGTGATTAAACTTCAGAGAAATATTCCCATTTTCATTTAGTCCTTTTTTCAATTTTGATAGGACTTTTCTCCCAAGTCCTTCAAACTTAATGCTTTTTGAAAATTGACTTACGAGTAAATGACTTGTGCTTATTTTGGTGTCTGCTATCTGATGTCTGCTAGAAACAATGCTTTTAGTTGTATTTATTGTTTTTAAAATATTGAATTGGCTTTAATATGTAATTTGTATTATTGCTTCCTTTGAAAATGTGACCTAATTACTGTGCATTATCAGATATTTAATTTGAATCCTAACAGTTATCTCTTTATTAGCCACCATGAAAAGTTGCATGCATTTGCATAATGCCTATTTTTTTATTATTAATATCAGTATCACTTTTTGCATTTCTGAAGAGTAAAACATTTTATTTCTGAAGAGTAAAAGCTGCTTTTATTTCAAGTAATGAATTAGTTTATAGAGTTGCATTGTTTATTTGCATGAAACTTGAGGAGAAATCCTCCATAAAGTATGTCCCCCAGAATTCTGTTATTTAAATAATTGAGTCTTAATTTGATTGCTAGCAGGTAAGTGGGTCTTGTGGCTTTTAAGGGGAAAAAGGTCCAACTGAAATAAAGTTGAAAACTGAGACAGATCATCTGTTCAGGAAAACTAGTGTGTCTCAAAAACTGTCATGAGATGTAACTTAAGGCAGTCTCCTTGTTCCAGCAGGAAATGTGCCAGAGGTCTCATCTTTGCTCATACTATAAAATAGTGGTGCAACACTGACACGAGTCATTCCAATGGTTCGTTGAGATGTTTTCAGTTTCCCTTAAATTTGTTGAGTCGCTACAAAAAATGGATTGATAGATCTAAGATCCATTTTGTTATAAAGAGGAAATAAAAAAATTAAGTCTCTTAATTGTTGCAAACAAAACTTGAGTTGAAATAGTTAAAAATAGAACACTGAATTTTTGGATGTTGAGTATAAGTTGACAACATTTTGACAACAAATTTCAATATTGAAATATCTGAGTTGTTTTCTATCTTATTTTATCACTGTATACCACAATGTGGTTCCTTCAGTGTTTGATAGTGGCTGCACTTAACCCTTTCTAGGTGATGTAAAATCACGGTATTGCAGTTATTCATACATAAAGTTCAGGTGAAAAAAGGAAAATAAAACTTCTTTTCTCTTGCAATTCCTCTTATTTCAGACCCAGTTTATCCAGTAAACAACCCTGCTGGCTGCTATGCCAATGGTCAGATCCAAGCTCACGGAGACCGCTGGCGAGAGGACGACTGCACTTTCTGCCAGTGCATCAATGGAGACCCGCACTGTGTTGCAACGGCCTGCGGGCAGAGCTGTCTAAATCCTGTCAAAGTCCCTGGCGAGTGCTGCCCGGTCTGTGAAGGTAAGATCAGTGTTTCCTCTATTATACTTCAGTCTGTCATGACTGCTGCTTACCTGGTAATTCCTGGTTTTACTTTAAAATTCTGGAGGATTTAAGCAGCTGGTACAGCATTGCCTGTGACTGAATAAACTAGTGAGCATGGTTTGACTATACCTGTATGTGGCAATGCCCAATACTCTTTTGGCCCAAAAGAATGTAGTAAGAGATCACTTACGATCAGCATTGTTCACTAATTTTTAGTTTTGCTTAAAGCTTATTAATAAATATAAGATATGTTAGAAAACCAAAATATCTATTGGCTGATATTACTGATAATTGGATTATTCTTGGTTTCTTATTCATCAGTGTCATTTAGTTATGACTAAAAATCTCTTTGCACTATATAGTTTGATATTGGACATAATTGTTGTATGAATAAAACATAATTATTTCAGTGAAACTTACAAAAGATTATATTCTTGGGGAGATAGATCAATGTTTAGAATTTAAAATGCAGCTTTCATTACCTTGTGGAAGTGTGTGTGTGTGTGTGTGTGTGTGTATATATATATATATATATATATATATCTTGTACAAATGACTTTTTAACTTAACTATATGGAAATGCTTGCCCAGCCTGGCAATGGAAACGTGAAGATTTGCAAACTGAGACATTAAAATAATTAATAACAATAATAATAATAATAACTGTATATATATGTGTACGTTCAGAGTTGCTTTTTATGGAGTAAATTTTCATCATGAAAAACACCTGATTGCTAAATTTAGGAATGGTTAATCTAGACCAGTATTCAGAGCCATCTTCCCAGTGTACAAACACTTGTGGGCACTCAGTAAGCTGCCACGTACATTTTTCCTGTTCCATCTCTGATAGAACAAAATGAATTTTGTGTAACTGCATGTGTCTCAGGGCCCTTCTGGGGTTGCAGTATCCATCCAAGTCCACTGGGATACTGTCTAGCAGCATGAAGATTTCTTGCAGGTACTCTTTCATTACAAAATTCACATCACAAAATATGAAGATGATGTCTGATAAAGAGTTGCTACTTGCACTGAATTAATTTTATGATGAGGAAGCAGGTTAACTGCTTTTAAACCCCAATGGTCCCCTCGTGATGGATGTCAGAGAGTAGGTGTTGTCACCTCAGTTATTTAGTGTGTATGTGAGCAAGCTTGGCAAGGTAGTACAGAGAGAGAGGTTGATGGAAGCATTTTCAATATGTTGAGGGTTTTTTTTTTTTCCTCCAGTGAGAGAAGGATAGACAAATGTCTCTGTTTTCCTGTTCCAGATTGGAGAAAATGGATGAGAGATAATTAAATCAAATGCTTATCTATATCAGAGTGAGATAATTATGATGAACTGTGGGAAGCAAACCCAGGGTAGAGCGTAGGCTTCCATTGCTCATTACTAAAGGTTGCCACATAGCCAAGCTGGTGCTTCATTAGTGTACCACACTAATGCCTCTACAGTGCTTTCAGCACACAAGTTAGCTCGTCTGGAGTATGTTAAGGTAATTCCATGCTATAACATGTTTTTACTTTTAAAAGCAGAAGTAGCTAAAAACTGCTTAAGTCCGTAAAAGTTGTTTTGTTGTTGTTGGGGGGATGCCTAAATTATACTTACGATACAAATTATGTCAAATAGATCAAGACTGACACAGTAGCACTATGGAATCACTATTTAAATGAGATTCTTGTAATCTTAACTATATTTTAGTAGAAAATAATCTGACTTTTTATTTTGTTTGTCCTGTTAGCCAGCAATTAGTGGAAGTAGTTTTAGTTTTCATGCCAGGAGGGAATTTGAGCATACTCAAGTACCAGTGGTCAGAGGATACCTGAAAACACACTTGAATACTCTCTTCTTTCTTCCCTTCCCTCCCTCACAGCAAGCAAAACCAAACAAAACAGAGTATTATACTCTGTAATGCCAAGTTACTTAATTTCAGGAATTTAGATTTGAGAATATTTCAGGGATCAAAAATCGTGATTGTTAAAACTCAGCAGTGAACTCAGGTGCTAGAATTCAAGATATAAAAGCTATAGTTTTCAAGAAGCAGCTTTGCATGATTTTATGAGAAATTACTTCAACATCTGAGGCTTAAGAACTTAACTTGCAATAATAACAAATAAAAAAATCCATGTGAAATGAATGAGTCAAGGGTACCAGTAAACTTCTTGAAGTTATGTTTTAAGGCATCAAACAAGCTCAAAGCTGCTAAGCCTTGTGAGTCAGCAGCCTGCATAAAAAGATTTACATATATTAGAAATCAAGGTATTATGAGATTGGAAATTTGTTAATTACGGAGACTTTTGTGTCTTTCTGAATCTGTTAACATTTTTCTTTGAAGCTTGCATTAGGAAAATCCCAGAACATTATAAAAAAAATAGTAATCTGTTAGATGCTGGCTGTCTGCATACTGTGCATTTTTAAATTATTTTTGAAAAAAAGTAAATGCGTGAGCTGATGGCAGCAGGGACTTGTGCATTAACCATAGACTTATGGCCCACCTCCAAGGTCAGATAGCATTATGTGTCTTGAAACTTAAATCTGAGATTAATAGTGTTTCTACTTGGAGTTTGCATGGGTAGTAAAAAATACTGTCTGCTTTCTTTGCAGTACAGCTATTGCTTCCTAACCCGCTAGGCAAGGGGCTACTTAGACTTCTGTTCTCTGGTTTTCTCCTTGGAGTAGGACTGAACTGGGAAAGTATGCTGTGTGAAGACAGACCTTAAAAACGTTGCTTCCTTTGCACATCTTACTGTCCTGAATTTTGGTTATATAGTTTTAATGACAACATGGTCCCATGTGAAATGCTGTTTTGTTCCTGTCGTCACCCAGCCAGCTGGCATGTCTGTTCCAGTTAGCCAGGTAGACTGCATGGGATGGTGCTCCTTCCCCTTTTTAATCAGCTTCTCACTCATTTTCCTGACAGTCATTTCTATTTACGAGGTTCTGCTTCTGATAGTGCGTCATCAGTGACCTGCACAGTTGGTGGGCTCAAGGGAGAAGAAAGTCCTGGCTGGGAAGTTGGCTGACAAATCAATCCCTTGATTTTAATGTTACTAATGAAAAAGATGTGCAATATGTTTAGTGAAGACTGCAAACAATAAAATACACTCCAGGCACAGTTTTTCCTCAGAGGAATTAAAAACCTTCAGTGTCAGCCATATGATGCTTTTCTGCATACTGCCCCATTAAATCTGCATATCTGTAGCTTAACCTTAGTTTTGCAGTTTAGCATATGAGCAGAAGCATCAACTGAATGGAAGCTCAAACATAACTAATGTTGCACTAATAGCTTAAACCCGCTATCCTGTGATCCTGTGCTCTCCAGTCTGTTCTTTTTTCCCATCCTTCTGCATCTCCTATTTGCTACTGTTCAGAATAGAAAACCAAAATTCATATCTTGTGTGTGCTAAGTTCTGAGATCGCTGACATTATAGAGTATCTCATTTTGAACTATGCAAGTTATTCAAGAAAGGAATTCAAGGCAGAAAGCAGCATAACTTAGTGGTAAGTTCAGTAAATGTGCAAAATTAATGTAGACTTAGCACATGATTTTGAGATAGTAGTTTACTAGTGATTGCAAGGATAAACATACCTCATTTTATACTTTTCTTTTGAATGTCTTCCAGTTCTCGCTCACAACTCATGCTGTAAAATGTTCAATACATAGAGAATATACCATAGTGGAATTATGGGGGTTTTGTAGATTATTTTAGAATGACAGTATATAGTAATTCCAAAGTTGTATTATATTATTTCGTCATGAATATATGTTACTTTTCTGCTCTTACATGTATGGTATGTTACATTTCTTAAGCTATAGCTCTTACTTTTTGCAGTAACTGCTTCACTTTTTTGGGACTAGTGCAGAATGTAAGAAACAATTATTTTTCTTCTAGAATCTTAATTATACTGCAGCTCTAAAGCAGGAAGAAAACCAACGCCTGTTGAAAACTTTTTATTATTTTTGTCAATTTAGTTGCTCATGAATCAATTCAAGCCCATATTTCCATTTAAAAAGAGGCATCAGATCAAGAAAAATAAGGAAGAGACTTTGTATGCTTATCAGTATTTTTAAGTATAAATTTATTTCTCATCAGAGTTTTGTTTATATGTAAAAAAAGATCCAGCTTGCCACCAGCTAGCTTAAATTCTGTGAACTTACTTTAAATTGGTCAGATATTTTCTGTTTAGTATGTGAAGCAAAATATCCAAAGATGTTTCTGTCACTTTTATTGGTTTTTTGAATGCTGAAGGATAGAGTCATTTGAGACTTGAGACTGATGGACAAAACCTAATCAAATCTGCCTGTGGGTCTGGCCTGACTGGGACTCATCCAGAGTAAATGGTTATTAGGATCAGTCACTTCTGTCTTCCCTAGTCTGTCTTCAGTCTAAATGCTGTTGCACTTAGAATTCTGCCAATTCAGTTATTTCCTGTATGTTTTATAGTCAGTTTCAATGAAAGGAAATATCTATTCCCATAGATAAGTTTACATTCCTGCAGCTACATAAGGATAAAATTGTTCTTGGATTACATTTTAAAAAAATTTTACAGTCAGCCAATCAAAGATAATGTAGCAGAAATTCTGTGAACACAAATTCTTGAAATATAAGCACAATGTCAGCACACAAAGGTATTCAGCCTATGAACACAGTAAATTCAGACTGAAGCAGAACATTCTCACTCCCTCATGAAGAAAATTCTGATGTTTTTACTACAGCAGTGAGAAAACCAGAGTGAAACAGTTGTAAAGACTGAAGAAAAACAGAAATAGCTGTTCACAGCTTTCTAAATTAGAGATCAAGGAACAGCAATTGTTGTATGTAATATTACCATACAGAATTTATTTGTATCAATTTTCCTGAGAAAATCCTTTCTAATGGTTCTTCATACGTGTTCATAGAGTATATATTGTATGTGTGTGTGTAGCCCACAGGATATGTGCTCCAGTGCTGATTGGACAGCCAAATTGGTTTGAAATGTATAT